AATGATTAAAAGTAAATTATATTGTGTAATTTTTGACTTTGAAAAAGCCTTCGATAAAGTATGGCGCAATGGCTTGTGGAACAAGATGTTAATGAGTGGAATTAATGGTAAAATGTTAACAATTATTTTTAACATGTATCAAGGCATTAAGTCAAATCACGGGTCAAATATATCTTTTAATGGTGAATGTTCTGGTTATTTTCCATGTGAAAATGGTTTGAGACCAGGAGAAAACCTATCTCCCTTTTTATTTAGTCTGTACTTGAACGATCTCGAAGAGTTTATGGTCCAAAATAACGTTCAGGGTTTGACAAACCTTAGTACTATATTAGAAAATGATCTACATGTATACATAAAGCTTTTTATTTTGCTCTATGCTGATGATACACTTCTTTTCTCAGACTGCCCAGTTGACTTGCAACTACAATTAAATGTATTCAGTGAATACTGTAAACAGTGGAAATTAAAGGTTAATATGGAAAAAAACAAATGAACAATAGAAATGCATTTTTATTTAATAATGAGGTGACAGAGTTAGTGGACAATGTTACCTATTTGGGTACGGCATTTAGTCGTACTGGTTCATTCAATGAAACGAAAAAATACTTATCCAAAAGGCTACTATAGCAATGTATGACTTTATAAAGAAAGGTAGACTACATAACTTATCAGTTCATTGTATATATGATTTAGTTGACAAGATTGTAAAACCCATACTATTGTATGGTTGTGAAGTTTGGGGTCTTACTGACCTTAAGGTAATTGAACGTGTACATTTAAAGTTTTGTAAATTATTACTGGGGTTAAAAAGTATCACCCTTAATTATATGGTATATGGAGAACTAGATACTAGCCCACTTGAAATAACAGTAAAAACAAGAATAATAGCATATTGGTCACAATTGACTAATTCTAAAGAAAATAAAATTAATATTATATTGTATACACTTCTTTGTCATCACCATAATGTTGATGATAAACCGGTTCCATATATAAGCTTTATTAAGCGTATTTTAAATGAATGTGGTATGAGTTACTTATGGAATGTCCAGTATACTCCAGAATGTAATGCCACATGGCTAAAGCATATTATTAAACAAAAAATGCACGACCAGTATTTACAGAAATGGCAGAGTGATGTACACACTTCACCAATAGCTACATGTTATAGGATTTTCAAAAACAATTGTCACTTTGAAAATTACTTAGATATTTTAAGTGATACAGATAGAGTTACATTTTGTAAATTTAGAACTACCAATCACAAATTTATTGTTGAAACCGGCAGATGGCATGATATAGATTACAATGAAAGAAAATGTCCACACTGAAACAGTAAGCAAATTGGTGACGAATTCCATTACTTGCTTGAGTGTCCGTCACTGTCTTGGTACCGAATTTTATATATAGATAAATATTTTTGGACGAGACCAAATGTAATTAAATTCTATGAATTAATGAATACTACTAACATAAAAACACTGAAGAAACTTTGTACTTTTATCAGAATAATTAATAACAATATTTGACCTCCTCGATACAACTGTGCATTTATTATGAAAAAGTACTGTGTACTACCGACTACGAACACTACAATTACTATATATTATATTGTAAATAGTTTCTCTATAAATTGTATTGTGAAAGAGAATAAAGTTGAATTGAATTGAAAAAAGGTATAGTACAGTTAGATTATTTACCTGTATTTACCTGTTCACCAATAGGAAATACTGTGTAAGTTATAGGAATATTTAACAAATATATTTCCTGATTTATGAATAAATATATACAAGATTCCAGTTATTACTTAATAAAAACACATCAAAATACATTAACTAAAAACCTGCTTTTATTAATTTCATATTAAATCAATTTTATACATTTTTACTATACATGTACATTTACATGTATGTTATATATATATTTCATAAAATAGAACTAAATTTAGCAAGCAATTTATGACAAATATAATCAGTAAAGACAGAGATCATGTATTACATTAGTAAATATGCAAAAACAGATGCAAAGCTGGAAATGAAAATAAATAAAACGAATTGTTGGCTGTTCTGGGTCCCTCGGTCTCAAAGTGGTTCCAGAGCTGTTGATTTCGGTCAATCCACTGTGTCATGACGTAATTTGTAAATGGAGTGGTGTCCTGAGGTACATCAGCATCGTCTATGTCCTCCAGCGCATTGAACAAGACATCTTCTAGGTGGTCTAACGGAACAAGGGGTAGTACAGCGGCACGCCGTACAAGTTGTCGGACATCGTCGTTGTTGGCGTTGAGTTGTTGAAGTCCGGTCTGCTGGACTTTCCTCCAAATACACTGTGTATAGCTAGTGGAAGAAACAGCCCTTCAAACTCACAACTGGAAACACTGCGCGAATGGCGTTCTGGGCAGCAGCCTCAAAGTCCAGAAAAACGGTGGTGGGATTGAGTTGGAGGTTGAGTTCTGTCATCTTGGTCTTGAGTAGTGTAAAGAATCTTTGGTATGTTGCCTGGCTCTTGCTGGGAAGTAGACTTATACAAGTGGGTACATCGAGATCTGGTCTCCAATCCTGGCGTGGACGGTGTAGATCTGCTGAAACTGAGTCGGGCACGTGTAAAATGTTCCATCACAGAAGAGAGTGTCTGCGTCAGGTGTTAAGATTCATTATTATCAACTAGAAATATCAGTGGACCCAAGCCATATTGGGTTATCAAATAGAAACATAACTAAAGATTATGTTTTAGGAGAAAATAATCTAATGAGTCAGTGATACTAAGTTATTTAAGAAATAATCAACATATGTGCGTGCATATTGGTGGAATATATAACGAGGGTGAGAAAATGTTGGTAAAAATAATTCAAGAAGGCCGCTTCGGCCAGAGTTAATTATTTTTCCAACATTTTCGAATCCCGAGTTTGGATTCCCGAATTGCGTTTACTTCTAAAACCATCATCATCGTACCGATAACAAGCGGATTTTCTTGGAAGTGCCAGTGATACAACATCATACGATAGTCCTGACATGAGTTGGCATATTTAGTTGGTTGCCATGACGTGATGGAAAGTCGCTGACCGGCTGATCATGATGCGACCTTCACCTTCACCGACTTCACCGGACAGCTGTGTTTTGCAACCACTGTTCAGACCGATGCTACTTTTTGCAACATTATTCTTCACACCCGGTATGTACACTGTAGGCGATTGCTCGACATCACTTTGATTTTTTGAAAGCAGACGACGTTTTGCAGACCAGAAACAACTGAAAATGTGTGACGTCAGATACGATGTTTATTTCAATCAATCAAACATTGGCACGCTATCGACATCGTTCGTCAAAACATGAAATCAGCGCTTAACAGTACATACACACATTGCACACACCGTGAAATGTACGGCACTACCAAGTGAAGTAAAACAGAAGTAATGAATAATTTACCATTTTGTCTTCAGACCTGTACATTTTAAATGTCAATAATTAATAAACCATTTTCACGGCACGGACCCACATACTTTAGGTCTATAGATCCGTGTAATCTTTTGAATGGCTGGCCTGTCAAATATTTTGATCCCGTCTGACAGTTATGCATTTTTTTTTAAATTCATGATAAAATACGGGGAGGTTGTTGGAACAGCATGCGTGCGCACTATTTCACGTGCATTGGTTATTGGCATTGGTTATTGGCACGCGCATGGTATATCGCTCAATAGTGCACTCTTTTTAACCAATGAAAATCGTCGTAACATCACAGACGTGGTAGAATAATTAATAATTACACTGAAGACGCATTTATTGGCAAAAGAGATTCTCTGAAATAATGCTCCAATATGAATTTGCTTCACCCTAAATTAAATCAATTTAAATTGAAATTAATTAAAAAAAAAAAGCATTATCATCTATATTTATGCTATTAAGTATATACAATATTTGTGGATTTCACGTTACTGTTTTGTATGATCTAGCTGATGGGAATGGTATACGATTATGACGTAGATGGCAGGTGTGAAGCCATGAAATAATACAAGCTGACAACGGTGTGGGTTCACTGTAAATGTTCGCATTCCAAGACATTTTGATAGTATTCGACACAACAAATTTTATTAAATTTTGACCTGTAGGTAAAGCAAAAGATCATTTACTTTGAATTCCGGACATTGTTTCGTTAAAGGATTCCTAAAATGGTGTTTACTCATGGTATAGTTACACCAAAGACGTGGTGGACAGACAGAGAATTAAATTAAATTGATTCTTAAAGAATTTGAAACCAACTTTTCAGGAAACTACAATCGATGACAGAAAGAAAAAAATCTCGTTTAAAGGTATTAAGAAAAAATACACCCAAGAAAAATACCTATCTACCACTAATAAAAGCTTAAGAATGTTGTATACAAAATTCAGATTGTGTGAGCATAACTTTGAACTAGCAATAGGAAGACCAAGAAAAAAAACCTAGAGAGCAAAGAGTATGTAAAAACTGTCTTGTTCTCGAAGATGAAGAACACTTCTTCTTCAGGTGTGACTATAATGCACAGCTGAGAAAGGACTATTTAAGACCTCAACCTCATTAATATTAAAAAAAGTGGCACGCTGACTGCGAAAAACTTTGAAACTCTTTTCGGAGAAAACGGAGTTCATGTCCGCGGAAGGAGAATACATTTTACGTGCACATAGGAGTTTTTAAACAAGAAAAAAATATCCATCTTTCCAACGGTACTAGTCTACGCATTTTCCCGTAATAATAGACGAATCAACAATTCAAGATGGCGACGGCGAAGTGTTGATTCGTCTATATTTATTCAAGGAAACGTATATCAACTAGAAATGATGTCTTTGATCATTGGGGTGTCATTTTTACCGAAAGTCAATCTAAATCTCTAAAACATGTAAAATTACTCTGACACCTTAGTTAAGGTCCAAATATAGCTATAACAAATTATCATGATCAGGTCCCCGTGGTAATTTCCCGCGTCTAAAATGCCCCTTAATAATTAAGTCGCAATGTATGGCTGTAAAACATACTCGAACGCACCCGAACGGTCCTCCCATGATACATGATCATGAGGATGCTCGATCTCGGAGACCGTATCTGATGAGACTGACAACTTACTGACAAGCCATGGACGCAGACGGCCTGCCCCTCGTAGGTCCCGGGGTTGACTACACTAAGGTAGATATTATCACACATCAACATGGAACGTAGCCTAAATGAAAATCAGTCGATATATGTTTTCTATGCAGAGACTTGGGAGTATCACCCTCCCACAATAACTACTTATACCAAGGTTTTCTATTATCATCCAAGATCTACCCTGGTTTTCATGTATAATTTACAGGTTTTGGAAATTTGTACTGAAAACAGATTTGTAACATGACAAAGAGGTCTGACAGACGAGGCTAGTACCAGTGGTCTCGGGGGAGATTGTTGACTTGTAATAATTACCAAAAACCTTCATGATCACTACACAGATTTAACGGAGTGACACCTGATCGATGCACACCCTCTCCGGACCTCCCCCTATTACTCGTGTATCATTCGTCATGGTTTACCTAGGTTTTCATGTATTATCTGACATGGTCTACCAGGTTTTCTATATATACCGATATGTGTGTGTATAAAAGAGTAGAGGAAAAATGCAGGGTCAGACCAGGATTCAAACCTGGGACCCTCCAAAGTCTAGGTTGACATATAGCATTAGACCTACCTGGTTGAGTAAATGAGTCACTGCATGGGAGCTCTGGTCAATGACTTCTGTCCTCGATGTAGAAAGCTTTTAAATCATTTCACAATTAATAAAGTACATGGTCCATACCAGGACTAGCAAATAAATTCACTTATAATTCAATTCAATAAGATCTTTGTGAAATGAAACCTATAGCTACCTGGTTGCCGGTGATTGACCCAGTCCATTTCAGCTACTTTTGTGTACTTCTACTTCTACCGTATACTGACCTACTTCATCTAGTTGAAGATTATGTCAGAGATCTGCGAAGGAAAAGGATGGGGGAGTGACATAACTCTTACACTCTACAGTAGCAGAGGGCAGTTTATTCCAGTCACAGATGGTTCTTGGGAAGATGGATTGTTGTCTACAGGTAGTTCTGGAATGAAGTGTTTGGTAGGAGTATGAGTTAGAGAATCTGGTCTGTCTCGTTTGGGGTGTAAGAGTGTTTTGCTGGACTGAAACTAAGTTATGGGTAATTTTGTATAACATGGAGAGCTGTGCATCTGTACGTGCCAAACATGTCGCTACGTCTGGCCTGAAGACTGCCAAACATGTCGCTACGTCTGGCCTGAAGACTGTGCCAAACATGTCGCTACATCTGGCCTGAAGACTGCCAAACATGTCGCTACGTCTGGCCTGAAGACTGCCAAACATGTCGCCTTTGCTAGAGGTGTTATGAAATTTGTTGGTGACATATAGCGTGCAGCCCTTCTCTGTACCATTTCTAATTTTTCGATATCACATTTTAGGTATGGCCATGGTCCCAGACAGGAGATGAGTACTCAAGAGATGGATTGACGAGTGACTTATAAGCATGTTCTTAAATGATCCTGGAGCTTATTTTTAAATTTCTTCTCAAGAAGCCTAGGGTCTTATTTGCTTTCCCAGTGATGTTATTTATATGGGACTCCCATTTAAGGTCTTGTTGCAATGTGACTCCTAAATACTTTGCCTTATCAACATGTTCAAGTGTGTGATTGTTGAAATCAGGGTGAAAGACCATTTTCCATTTTTCTTCCCACATTTCAAGTTTAAGCAGATCGGATTGGAGGATGGCTGTGTCCTCCTTGCTTGCAACAGTCAAGTTCACCATATGTCGTCTGTGAATAGACGAATAGATGATGAGAGTCCAACAGAGATGTCGTTTATATAATATAAAAATAGACTTGGTTTGAGGACTGATCCCTGAGGGACCCCCGACTCCACTGAGACATACTCAGACTTTCCTTCTTCCAAGACGACAGACTGTGTTCTGTCACTTAGAAAAGAGTTGATCCAGGTGTTGACCTTCCCACTGACACCATAGACTGATTCAGCTTGTTTACCAACAAAGAATGGCTGACCTTGTCAAAAGCTTTTGAAAAATCCAAAATTGTCACATCTGTTTGTTTGCCATTTTCTACATTTTTTGATACATCATCCATAAATTCTAAGAGCTGAGTTTCGCAAGATCTTGAATGCCAAAAACCGTGTTGGAGGGAGTACATTATATTATGTTCATCTGCATGAGACATTATATGATTGACAAATATATGTTCCAGAATTTTACTGCAAATGCCTGTTAAGGAGATGGGACGATAAGTTTCTGGGTTATACTTTGGACCTTTCTTATATATTGGAGATATAGGTGTGACTTTCCAATCAGAATAATTAAACAAAATAGTGAGGATAGGTGCTAATTCATCTGATAATTCCTTGAGAATTTTAGGGCTGATATTGTCTGGACCAGGAGATTTGTTTGTGTTGAGGTTGGATAGTAATTTCCTAATACCCTCATTATTTATAGTAAGGTCAGTGATGGTAGGATAGTTTGAGGTCATTTTACATCTATCTTTAAACATAGCAGGGGATATGGTTCAGCACTGCTGGATACAGATTGAAATTGTGAGTCAATACATGGTGCATGGGTTGGGGGATCTGTACCATACTCTGTGCTGCGTGTTGCTGATTCTGTGATTCTTGCTGATTTTATGTTTCATTTGTAATTTTCATTTTTACAAAACGGTACTGTCATCTACACATTTTACATTGTAGAGATATCATCTGTCCTTCATCTATATGCATTCACATGTTCCACTTAATGCTCATTGTACGTAATAGCATTTACAAATTGCAGGTTGAGGCAATACACCAGAAGAGAACCCTGGCTTTTATGAACCACTTTGTGAGCCACACTGCAAGCTTCTTGAACCGTTTTTCTTGTGTTTGTGAGGAGAAACTTGATCACATGTTGAGTCGACTGCAGCAGCTAGAAATAACAATGAATATTCTAGAAGCTAAGGTAAGCCACTGTATGTGTTAAACCATTATTAGCTCACCTGGCACGAAGTGCCAAGTGAGCTTATGCCGTGGCGCGGCGTCCGTCGTCCGTCCATCCTCGTCCGTCAACTTTTCCTTTAAACAACTTCTTCTGAAGAACGGACAGGCCTAGAGTCATGATATTTGGCTGAAAGCTTCGTTGGTAGGTGCCCTACAAAGTTTGAGAACGAAAATGACCTTGACCTGTTTTCAAGGTCACAGGGGTCAAATATGTCAAACACTTCAAACAACTTCTTCTGAAGAACTAAAAGGTATAGAATCTTTATATTTGGCTGGTGGCTTGCTAGGATAGAGCCCTACAAAGTTTGAGAATGAAAACTAGTTTGACCTACTTTCAAGGTCACAGGGGTCATATATGTCAAAAGCTTCAAACGTCTTCTTCTGAAGAATTAAAAGGCATAGAATCTTCATATTTGGCTGATGGCTTCCTGGGATGGAGCCCAACAAAGTTTGAGAATGAAAATTACCTTGACCTACTTTCAAGGTTACAGGGGTCAAATGTGTCAAACACTTCAAACAACTTCTTCTGAAGAACTGAAAGGTATA